TCTCTCTCTCTCTCCCCCCCTCTCTCTCCCTCCCTCCTTCCCTCCCCCCCACAACTTTCTCATATCTATCTCAGTCTGTTCCTGCTTCTCTTGAACAGCACCAAAAAAATAACTTTTTTTTTTTAATATTCCTTGGCAAGAGATGGTATATTATGTATGTTGGGATGGTGGCTGGTCTGTCCCTTATGTGACCCTTTGGATTTCTTTTGGATTTTAGAGAGGCTGCTTTTTGCTCAGCTCCTAACGCCTGCTGCCTGCCTGGCATTTTATAGCCTAATATTGAAGAATAGTTATCAGTTGCATTTTAAAACCATTTTCTCTTGAGCTCAACTCATTCACAGTAACAGTTTTCTTTTTTTGTTGTTTATTTTTGTTTTAAGAATGTTTCCTTATTCTTCAACATCTTGGAAATCATTTGAGATTAGCTCAGTGTATAAAGCTCATTGGACTGAAAAGTTAATAGTTCATAAAATACCATCAGTGCTCCAGTTAGCACACTGTCTCTCCCTCACAGGACTATCAAAGTTGCAGACCCGCAGTAGCTATGTAGAGTCTTTCTAAAAGGTCTGTTTGGGATCTGGGATGGTTCTGTGGTTCTAGAGGATCCATGATAGTTAATTATGAGAGTCACTTCACAGGACTAAAATTTATTTGGAAGACCTCAGAACTACAAAATGGATCCCTGAGTTCTTCTCTATTTTTCCAAAATTGAATTGAGAGAGTAACCACTAGGCACTAGAGCTAATCTATCTTCCTCAGTAATTTGGGCCCAGAACATAAAGGGGAAACAATAGTCTAATAGTTATTTCTCTACAGGATTGGAAAAACACGAACATTTCAAAGGGTTCTCATCAAGTGGGCATATAAGATGTGACTATAAAGTATATTTTTAAAAAAACCTACAAACACCAAAACTTGTGTTACCCAAATGCATGTTGTTACTTTCGAAGGTAGGCACTTTGGGTTGCTATATATTTTATTCTAATCATGTTCTTGTGTAAGACATTTTTATAATTCCTCTTTGGGAGGTTGCCTTTAGAGTTAATAAGCCGTATAAGAAAATCAGTTAAATTACTTTATAGTCACACCTAATTTTGATTCAAAAACATGTTACCAACTATCTTCACCAAATTTGACTCTTATTTTTGCCTGTTTCTGAAACCAAATTGGACCTGAAAGAGTTAAGATTTGTCTCTTTTGAGAATGCTCAAAAGACTGTAGCATAATCTTTGAAGTCTCTTCCGGGAGTTGCAAAAACATATTGAGAAATGGTAGCATTATTGGAGTGTGTCACCTTTGGAAGTGCTTAATTTGCAAGGAATGACAGTTATTTGTATAAATTCTGCTGTTTAAACCTAGTTGTCTTCATTTTATAGGTAATCTTCATTTAAAGAGAAAGTTTGTGTGAAAATAGATTGCATCTTTTATTTTAGACAGCAAAAATTTCAATGTATCTATAACTTATTTAGACTCTTAAGAGTAAACTAGGTTTGAATTTTATGTGAACTTTACTTAAGGCTGAATATGGATGTTTTAGGAACAACTAGAAACATCTAGGAGGGAAATGATTGGGCTTCAGGAGAGAGACAGACAGCTACAAGGCAAGAACAGAAACTTGCACCAGTTACTTAAAAATGAGAAGGATGAGGTGAGTCATAGCTATTATTGATCAAGTCCTAGTGAATTTTTTTTTCTGTAGTATAAGGTATATGGATTTTGTGTCCATTCTTTCCTTAAAATAGGAAAGAGCAAAATCTTATGTCCCACATTGCCAATTAGTATGCCATGTTTCAGTTTATTCAATGAAGTTTTAACTCTAGATCTACCATTCCTTTTGGTTTACTTGTCATAGCTAATTGACTTCCCTCCCCTGGCTAACTGCTCTAATGACTTATTTTCACTTTTTCTTAGAGTTGAGCCTCTAAAGTCCACCAGATGTTTCCAATATCCTCAACTTTGCCACGTCTGAGTGATTTTTAAGATAATAAGGAATAGTACAAAAAAATATTGAATATTGTCTCCCAAATAGAATTTTTGTCACCAGGCATAATGTCTTAGTTCTAGCTTTCTATCTAGACCTGCTGACTTGGAACTTAAGTTTGTAGAATTGGTTATTAGAGTTAAAGTGTTTTATTTATGTATGAGAAAGCTATTGTCTTAATTGCCTTGCAGTATAACCCCTGATATATGATAATTCAGAAATCCAGAATGCCTGTTTATTTTTAATAATAGTATAAAATTGCTAGTTTGAGAGAATGGTCTAAAAACAATTTTTGGAATGATTTTACCTCAA